CCCAAAGCCAGGGTCAAGTACATCTGCAGGGCACAGGCTGGGAAGGAGATGGTACTTCTGGTTTGTAGGAAGTTGGTGAGCATGAGAGGTGTGAAAGAGGAGGTGCCACAGATGTCTATGAGGGAGAGGTTGCTGAGAAAGAAGTACATGGGGTTGTGCAGGTGGGGGTTCAGCATGATCAGCACCATGAGGAGGGAGTTCCCCAGCAGATTCATGCAGTAGATGCCCAGGCAAAGCACAAACAGGACCATCTCTAGGTCATGGTGCCCATGGAGCCCCAGCAGGACATAGTCCATCACGGCTGTCTGGTTTGTCTCCTCCATCTCATCCTCTTTGCTCTTTCATCTGGACCACACAGCTTTTAGAAAGAAGCTCTTGCTGGTGTGGGGACCAAGGATGCTGGATGTGTGACTTGCAGTGTATCAGCCTCCCTCTCTGGAACCGAGTTTTATCATCTGTACAAGGAGAAACAAGCCTTCAGGCCTGCATCTGGCCCTCCCAGCTCTGCTCTTCTATGGACTTTGAGGGGAATTGCAACATCCTGGCTCTCTAGACTCTTGGCTGTTCTACCCAGGGGATTTCAGAGGGGACAGTAGAATACAAAATATATGTGACATGTTTTCTTTTTTTAAAAAAAGAGTTCCTACCATTCAAAGGAAACATCTTTTCTCAATTACAACTTCCTATGCCTAATAATGCCCACTGTATTTCAGATTCTTTCATTCAGTGATTCATTCATACCCTGTGGTAGGTATTGTTTCAGGTGCTGGGGCTATACCAGTAAGAAAAATAGGAAAACAAAAAGATTCTACACTGTTTCTGTTGTACCCTCACTTCCTTGACTGAGGTGACATTCTGGGAAGCAGGTGTATGATGGCTGATCTTACCCAGTGTCCCTCTGGGCCCTGGGGATGGAACACTTTAGTGTGTAATTCTGAATTATGGTCATTTCTCCTTAAGGAATCAGAAATCATTCATTGCTTTTTCAAAAGAGCACACATGAACATTTGTACCCCAATAGAGGTAGATATAGAGGTACAATAGAATTGCTGGTCACAGGATTTAGCCCTGGTCAAGAGAGCCAAGTGACTCACTAGTGGGCTTTCTAGTTGCTTTTTGGGATAAGTGAGATTGGCAGGGATGCCAGTCAAGTAGGCGCGCACCTGGAGCTCATCTGGCCTTGGCGTGGCCAGTTGTTGACTAGCTTTAGAAAGGCAGGAAGGAGGCTGAGGTTTGTTCCCAGCAGCCTCCATTGCTGTGCCAAGCTGGTCTCAAGGCTTCTTGGAATAGGACAGTGTTAAAATTCACAGGAGGGAGCTCTCATGTCCCCAAAACCCAATAGTGCCATCTGCACAGGAAAGCTGTTTTAGGGGTCAGGTGGCTACTACAAGCTGGTGCCTGTGCCTGGTGCAGAGACACTGTGTTTTCTTCTGCCTTCCTGCAGCTTATACTCATGTACTCATTCTCTGGATCTCAGCAACCATCCATTCCTACCCTGGCTTTAGACCTCTGACATTGTCCATGAGTCTGGGGTGTAAAGATCACTGTCAAACCTGAAATCTGGTAAGAAGTCCTGGGAGGGCGATGTCTCTGCTCCATGTGTGCTTACAACATGACCTATGTTCATTTCAAATTCTGACACATGTTTTCAGACAGGGGATAGTGGAAAACACTGGGTGTGCCTCTCTCCTCACCCTGGCCTCTGTTCAAAGACCCAGAGGAAGAGGTGCAGGGATTTGGGGCTTCTGGCACCAGGCTCTAGGCCTGCCCTCCTGTCTCACTTCCACACCACACCTCATGCACACCTGTTCCAACCTGGTCAGACTAGTGCTATTGCTGGGACAAAGGCTGCTGGACTGTCCCTTGTTGTTCACTTATTCTTCCTGGCTGAGTTCACACTGCACATTTTGTGTGGTATCCCCTCTGATGGCACAGGGAAGAACTGACCATCCCATCAGTTGATGGTTGTCCAGTTTTAGCACAGATTAATTTCATTGTGCCTTGAATTCTGGCAAGATTGCTGATTCCCGCTGTCTGACTAGATTGTTTAATATTGAGAAATTGGAGAGAAAATGCTGTGTTTGGTTTATCACTGTCATCCTCCAAATGCCCTGTACCCAGGAGTATCAGTGGTTGCCATTCTAATGCAAGTGACCATTTATTGAGCTCTAATGCTGCCATTCTGCCTAAAATCTTGATCCCAGCATCTCACCTTGAGATCACCCTCTCCCTTTTCATTCTACCCCCAAAGGAAAAATGCAAACATTTGGAAGAATTTCTCAGGGTGCCAGTTCCACCTGGAGGGACAGTCTTTTTTCTGGAGCACCAGATCAGGATCATGGTGGGTTTCCTAGCAACTTAAGGGTCAGGTCATAGCACATTCCTGTCTAGTAGAAACAGCCATAAAGAAGGAGTTTGTGTATAGAAAATGT